GGATGGAAAAGAGAAGGAATATTGTAATAAAACACTATTCACCTATTACCAACATTAAGGACTTTGGGGTAGTAAAGGGCGGAGGGTGTCAGCGGCCCCCACTTCTGGGCTCTGGCACCAGCGTACATTAAAACGGTTTTCCATTTTAAGAGAAAAGTATTTCAGGTTCATCCATTTAATTTGGAAAAATGTTATCGAAAGCTGAAGAAATGAGCAAGTCTTCAGTACTCGGTAGTACCACACGTCAACTTATACATCTTGGTACAATGAAAACAAAGGTGATAGTTTTACGGAGAGAGGAAAAATACATGGAACCAAAAAAAAAAATAAAAATCTTTATTGATTGATTGCACTAAAAATGTAGGTAGTTACATCCGGTGTATACTTTAAAACACTAACTGCAAAACTAACTGATTGATATAAATGAAGTAAAATACTAAGACAAGGTTTGGCTACTCTATTTATCTCGAGTAAAACACTGTAAAACAGTAAAAGTTACTTCATTATTATTAAAAAATTTCATGGAGAGAGGATATTTTTTGAATTCATAGATAGTACTCTAATTTACTTCTGATTTTGTGTCCACTCAGAAATTTCGGCCACTGTCCTTGCACATGCATGCATGATCTTTTATCAGGATCCTATTATATTACTCATCAGCTTGCGAAGACAGGAAACGTCAATTAAAACTTTAAAGGGAAAAAAGAAGAAGAAGAAAGTGAACAGAGGCGTACTGTGTGTGCAGTAACCCTCACGACAAAAGGGCAGAACAATTGAGTGGAACCAAATTAAGCTACAAAAAAAAACCTGAAGGTAAAGAAGAGAAAAAAAAAAAAAGAAAAAAAGAAGGGTTAACGAATCGAGCATCGGATCTTCATTTCAGGAGGAGGACTGATCTAGTGCTGCTTCCATTTTTTTCTCTTCTTCTTGCTGCGCTGCGTCTCCGGTCAGGGCAAAAATTAGGTCCACACCTTTTGTTGTTAAGTAGTCGTTTACGTTTTGGGAGTTCCAAGACATTGCTGCTGGCTTCCCCACATGCAAAATCGCTGTTTTCTGGATTTTGCATTTGTATCTCCTTGCATTGCATGCTGACACGTCATCTTCCCATGCAAAAGAACATTAAAGAAAAAAAAAACACTAATCTCAATTGGCCCCCCTCAAAACTCTTTTCCTTTTTTCTTCTTTTTTTTTAAAAAAATTTTTTTTGAACTCAAATTAAACATTTTTGCTTTTCCATTTGTTTCTCTCACGCATATTTTCATTTTGAGGATAGCTTTAACGTACCGAAAAAATTATTTTTTTAGGACATAAGGTGTATAATATCCTAAAATGTATGTTCCCTGTAAAATGAACATTTGATGTGCTATACACTATACTATTATTTGGACTTAGGTAGGTTCCAGTAAATGAATGAATATTATGGGTCTTCGTTTCATGTTACAATCAAAGAATTCACTAGTACCGTATGTACGTTGCCATTTCTTCGAAGTGTCAGTAGCATTCTATAGCTTCGGTATAACTCTCAATACAGTATTTTGAGCACAGATAGGGAATTTAATTTCACACAATATCAAAACCATGACGGCCAAGCTGGTTACAGGAGGAACCTACTGAGACTGACCAAAATCTAAAATTGGATTACATAATGCACGGCACAAAGGTCTCACAGTTCATTTGATAATTAAAATATTTATGCTTCCTTTAGGCCTGCAAGAATTGTCGGAGCTCTTCAAGATGTATAGTTGCATCCTTTTCTTACTCCTGACTCTTGTGAACTACGAAAACACTAGGTAACCGCTTCAGAATACATTGATTTCTGGTTCGCGGACCCAGAAAAGAATCTGAAAAAACCAACGGCCGTCCCATTTTCCATACACGACGTAAGAATTAAGAATCTAGACATCTCAACGCTTCCAGAAAAAAAGAGTGGCTCAAAGTCGGCACCTCTATGACACATTCCAATTATTTTTTATAACTTATATAATTTATGTCCATATATATGTTATTTATCACTTTAGAACATATATATTTTAGAATTAAAGGTTCACTTTTTTCGGAATAGAGTATATATTTATTTTTATTTTTCATAGTTAAAAAAATTAATAAATAGTCAAAATTCATAAAAAAAATAGAACACTTATATAAAAAATAAAATAAAAATATGAAATTATCTATGTTAAAATTACGTGATTGTGAAATATGTATTAACATAAATTATATAAATTATAAAAACTAATTGAAATGTGTCGTAAGTGTCACAAGAAAGTGTCATAATCATGTGCCAACAACCTCAAAGCCTCAAACCTTTTTCTAGGCTGCATCTATGCTTTAAAGGTACTTAGCGTAAAGATACTAAATTTCTTAGGTTTGAGGCAGGAATCGAGTCATGTCCTATTGGTTATGTTGTTATACCTTTAACCGTGAGGTTAAAGGTTCGATTCCTACCGCAAACGTAAGAAACAGACAGCTAAAAGAGAAAGCAGGTAGCTGACTAGCAGCAGGCAGAGGCCTGCAATCATCGGTCATTGAAAACCGGACATCCCCAACAAGAGGTACACGCAAATAGAATCTATTACTAATAGTATTACTTCCTTCCTCAATACGTTTTACCCATTTTAATAATTTAGATACCTCTAAGTACTAATATGTGCGGACTCAAAAAAGAAAAATATATCATTGCACTCTTTTTCCTTTTCTTTTTGTCTCTCTCTTTACACGGACGTTTTTGCCGTATAGGAACAAATTATTCATCTGGTGAGATATTTTATCAGTGCAAATTGTTTTACTTCAATCCTTAATTTCCAAGTAATGCTGTCAGCCTATCACGTATAAGTTAAAACTGCATGAATACGTACCCTAGATAGTCCATACACTCTTGAATCCCTCGCAGACACAAAAAAGGCCCTTTTCGGTGTTTCCACGGAGAAGTTTTTACAATAACATAGACTACTTTTTTTCCCCATCATACAGGTGTGACTAATTCCCGACTAAATTGTTGGTATTTTGATGAATAAGATAATGGTAAAAAATTTAAGATTATTATATATTTATAACAAAGTTTGAACTCTCGACCTATGATTGAGGATGGAAAAGTTTATTTCACTCCACACCACATATATAAATACATATATACATATAAATAAAAAATAACCGACGTTATTTATAGATTAATTTTCTATATAGATATTTTTTATCTTTTTTTTTGTTAAATCCAAGTATTTTCTTATTTTATTAATATAAAAAATTTGTAGTTCATAATGCAGTGCTTACAAAGATTTTTAAACAAATAATTAGTACATAACTTCTTGCAAGAAATAATCGTTCATAACGTCGAGTGATAGGGCGTTCGAAAAGAGAAAAAAATGAAAAAAAAAAAAGGAAGGAAAAGTTGCACGGAAAAATAACATTTATTTTGATACATGCATAACGTAATCCACTGCATATGTGTAACCTTCCAGTTCTCTGGATTGGTTCGTTTCACATAAATTACAACGTCATTACGACAGAGATTCAGAATCACCAACATCTCTCCCCCGTTTTGAAACATAAAAGAGAGTCAAGGCTCTATCCGCCCAACATGTAGTTTGTTTGTTGTACTGGAAAAGCATGCAATATTGCAGCCCCACTGTTCGGTTTTTAAAGGTCAGAGCAGCCTACAAAACCACACTTATACAGTTGCCAGAATCTTCGAATTTACTTATAACTCAAAAAGGGAACTCTCTGATTTGGGTTAAATGATTTGTCGATCGAAGAACATTTGAATGGTAGTAAATGGCCTTAGCTTGGACGGGCTTTCCAAGGGTGGGTAATCGAAATACTCGGAGTGAAGGAGTAATATCTTTGGAGGAATGGAAAGGACGTTAATGGCGTTGTTCATTTCCAATGTAAAAGTTTTTAAGTGCTTTGAACAAACTGAAAAGAATCTCTTTGATTACCATAGTTTGACTAAAACTTGCTGCTTAATTAATTTGATGAACTCATGATGGATTAATTGGAAAACATATGCAATACGAGCCCCATCTATAACATTTACAACGTAAATGTTAGTACTCCTTCTGTCCTAAAATTATTATCCAATTTGAGATTTCACTTTAGTAGAATTTGAATTAAAAATGAAAACTCAAACTGCACAATAATTATGAAACGGAGGGGGTATAATATACATATATATATATATATATAAACATAGTTTGCTAGCAAGTATTTCACGCACCACTGTTTATTTGTTGTAGTTTGGAAGATTCGGAATAAACCCATCATCATTAATCAATTGACTACAAACGGACATAAACAATATTTCAGGTGGATCTTAAAGTGTTAAACACAAGTTACTACAAACGCATGCTTAACATCTACTCCTAACAACACTAAACACATTAGTATAGTAATGTTGACTTCAAAATCAATTTCTTATTGTGTGTTGTTTGTTTCCCATGCAAAATACTCATATATGGTTTGATTTTTAATTCTTTATTTTTAATTTCCAAAAAGATACCGGTATCTAGTAAGTATGTATGTTTCTAGTCCCAAGTAATTGAAGGGTTAGGTTTCTTAATGGGGCAGCAATTCCACTCTTGTTCCTAAGGGACTTCTTTACCCTAATATCTAAAAGACGCACCAATATGTGACTGTGTGAACATTATAGTAGTAGTAACAATATCCCAAACAACAAACACGTATGAAGAAGAAGAGTGTAGACAATACAACAGTGGCACCGCCCTGATTCACCATTTGCAGAGCCCTCTCTACTGTGTGTTTGAATGGTTCAAACTTCAAACCCTTTTTTCCCAGCTTTACCTCTTTTACACTTACTACAACAAATCGCTCCACCAGTCATCATCTCTTTCGGGTGGCTAATTGGGTAAACATCCCACGAGGCTGCCGTCTGGTTCCAATTTCATCGAGTTCCCCCCTCCAATCTCTTTTTTACTGTATAAGTTGAATTTGGTCGCCCCTTTCTTTCCTTTTCTTAAAAAAATAAAAACCACATAACAAAAACTATGAACAATATTAGTACTCCTCCACGACCACATGAAATCAAACCCCAACTAAACGACCTCGTCGTCTCCGCCACCGCCATCGCCACCACAAGTGACCAGTCGCCGACAAGTAGTAATAGCAACAGCAACGGCAACAACGGCAACGGCAGTACTAAAAATAATAAGAAGGGGAAAGGAAAAGGTGGGCCGGACAATAACAAGTTCAGGTACAGAGGAGTACGGCAGCGTAGCTGGGGTAAATGGGTTGCCGAGATCCGCGAGCCACGCAAGCGCACGCGCCGCTGGCTAGGCACTTTCGCCACCGCTGAGGACGCCGCACGTGCCTATGACCGCGCCGCTATCATACTCTACGGCCCAAGGGCTCAGCTTAACCTACAACCTTCTTCCGGCAATACTAATGGTGGGTCCCCGTCGGAACAATCATCTTCGAGGTCCTCTGCCACTTCTTCATCGTCTTCCACTCAAACCCTTCGTCCGATCCTCCCTAGGCCACCCGGGTTCGGGTTGACTTTCTATTCGGCGCCGTCGTCGTCGTCGACGGCTCCTCAGTTCTCCGCCGTTGTACCGCCGGGCTCCCTCCAGTACATTCCGTACGGTTTCTACCACAACGTGGTACAACAATTCCCTACTACTGATAGCAATTCTCTATTACTCCAACAATGTCATCAGCAACAGGTTGGGGTTCATCAAGAGGAAGATTACGGAGTCAAAAATGAGAATGTTGGATTCGGAATTGGGCCCACTTTCACACCAAATACGGCCGCATCCACTCCGTACGGTACTAGTACTAGTAGTACTGTTGGAAACCTTAGTTATCATCAGCATCAGGAGGAGGGATTTGAGTTGGAACAACAAAGTCAGCAGCATCAGAATAATAGTTTGTACGATGAAGGGAACAACAACAACTTCGGGAATTCGGTTGATTTAGTAGGGTCGGCCGGATCGAGCTTGTCGCTTTGTGTGGCTCCGGCTCATGTGGGCATATCTGCACCGTCGTCGACCGTGTTTTCGGAGTCTACGGATCCGACGGTTAGTGTAGCTCCTGGATCTCCAGGGTTAATGTGGCCATCTTTGACTAGTGAGTATGACTATCCATCTACTAGTATTTGGGATTATGGTGATCCTTTTGATTTTTGAACAATTTTATTATCCTAAAGAAAATAGTAAGAACAACATTCTCCTCATCCTTGCCTTTTTTTCATGTTTTACTCTATCCTATTGATAAGTCATTAATTTAATTATTTTTATGAGTAGTGCTAGGTACGAGAAAAAATTAGTAAGAAATGATGTGTCAAGATTTTAACTATGTCTTAACGTTAAATACATAAACTTTGTTTGGAAAGTTTTAACAATGGATATGTGAGATCATTTTTTTGGAAAGTTTTAACAATGGATCTGTGAAATTATTTTCTTGTCATTTTTTTCATGTACCAATCATTATTCATATATTAAAATGGTTGTACGAGCAGGGCTCCAAATTATTGGCTTTTGATATACATTGCTGTCTTGAATTTATTTTACCAGCAGTTGAGAGATTAATTTCACACCTATTGTAGACATCTCTGCGCAGTACATTGTGAATCACAATAGAGAGTCCTGGTGGTAACAACGGGATGAGAATTATGATACATTGATACTACATGAGATTAATTGGTAGAGTGAAGTATGATACACTGAAACTACATAAGATTAATTGGTAGAGTGGTAAGGATTCTTCTACTTTTAAGCATAAGGGTTCGAATCTTATTATGAGTACGAAGCATTCTTAAATTCTTCGGCCAGCTCTTTCACCTGTCGAGGTGCCTAACATGAGCGAGGAAAATTAGTCACTGTTATGGAGAGTTTTATCACGTGAAGGATCAAGGCTAAATTTGGCTAAAGAAATTACTGAAAAAAAGTTAGTTTAAAGTTGTTTCCTTCATCCAAGTGACAATAGATTCATGTTTTGGTTCATTGGATATGCTGACTTTCTTCCATATATATTACTCCCTCCATTTTGAAATATATGTCGTTTTAGGATTTGATAAATTTTTTAAGTATATATTGTTTTTACAAATTGATGTATATTTGACCACTTTTTACTAAATCATATTTATAATGAATTTTTATTGGTTTGTGATGAATTGTGTAGATAATAAATGAGGATATTTTTGTATTTTAATTATATTAATAAATATTTTCTTGATTTTTGATGATTTTTATAGAAAGATATATAAAAAAAAATAAAGGGAGTAATATACCTCTTGGAAGTATTGTTTGACTAATGCTTACTTGACTTGGACTTATAAAACCTAATTTTGACTCATTCCATTAACCATATTCTACTTGGATAAGAGACTCTATATACGTAAAATTAGCTCTATCTTTTATAATCAATGCATGACCATGTTCTATAGGACTTGATTATTATGGTAATGATATGGCCATGTTGAAACATGCATGTCAAACCCATTAGGCCACATTCGTGGGAGATAATTTTTGTTTTTTCCCTTTTTGTTTAGTTTGAATGTATGTGTGTACACATTAGTTCTAGAGTAATAATAGGGAGTTCACCTGAATAACTCACAATATTATCTCACCTTATGTGGCTTACCAACTTGGTTGGTTTTGACATGTCATAATAATTTACATATTTATATTTATTATTGGAGGATATTAAAAAAAAAAATTAACCCGGGGGGAAATTATTCACAGGTGAGGCTCTAGCGGCTGAAAATCTACTAGGCCACTGTTCCTCTCCGGGCGCAACAGCTCGATCTTGGTTTTGCCTATGTGAAATTTAATTGGCCAAGACGCGAGGAATTAAAATTTTACTAACGGAAAATAACAATTGGCCTTGCCCTTCTTCTTCTCATGATTCCGGCGACCTGGTACTAGTCCTCTGGGATTTCGGCGAAGTTGTTCTTTCTTATCTATAGATACTAATAATTTAAGCAACAGGGCTCATTGTTTCTTTTTTTCTTTGTGTCTGTTATACAAATAAAAAAATTCAATTCCTATCGGAATTCAACCTAATAGTATATATAAGGATGTTTTAGAAATAAATCCACATCTAGATTGGAATTAGCTTGTATATTTCATTCACGTGGAAACTTCAAAGCATTAGAGTTAATTAATGATTATTATTGAGCTTTAGCAATGGAGGATTCCGATGAGTTCTCAAAGGGAATGGGGAAGACGACGAAAATAGATGAAGAAGGGCAAAGTAAATTTGATTTACCGCGGGTTGGAATTTTTTTTTTTAATCTCTTCAATAATAAAAATGATGACATGTCAAAGACAAGTTTTTTTTTTAGTAAGAAGGTTAATTTCATTACCAGTATATTATCGTACAAAACTTTCCTCTATTTCCAAAAATATCTATTAAGCAACAGACTCATGTTAGACAAAGATTAACTCTGACGCCTTTTTCTTACAACTACTGGACTAAAATGTAACTTATTACACTAAACTATAATCTTTGGAGAATTAGGAACTCTTTGGATTGACACATATCTTATCTTGAGGTGAAACAGAACCTATTGTATTACCTTCGACTCAACAGGTGGTTCTTTTTGGAAGATGAACCTATTTCTTGCCCTCCATAAGAAATAGATTGATGCATACCATGAGGATTTCATAGCTACTCCTAGAATATCATTCTTCCACTTGTGGAAATGCTGATTAACAAGGTGATCCCATGAGTTCGGGAGGCTCCATCCATTGAAATCACAAACTCCAAGCCATAGTCGAGATGAGAATAACATTCAAAGAAGAGATGCTGTACAGTTTCATCATGTTGTTAGCAGAACACACATAAGGTATCGACTGATATATTCCATTTAGTTACCTTAGTTTTTACTGCAAGTCTATCTAGGCAGCTCAACCATGAGATGAAAGAATATTTTAAAGGAGTTAACTTGGTCCATAATATACGACACCACCATTGGATAGGAGCTGGAGGTGCCAATACATTGTAGCTCGCTTGTGATGAATATGGTTTCCCAAGAGCAGTCCAAACTGTTGTACATTTTATTCTAGTTATATAAGCAGATGCTACTGTTTTCAACTTCAAGATCTTCTTGATGCACCACGAGAAAGAATATGTAATAGATACATCCCAAACAGACTGACCCTTTAAGTTTACCTCATGAATCCACTTTACTCCAAGTGAATCAACCTGTGTTTCTATAGCCCAATAATGCTTAAACATCAAAGACTTATTCATCATGTAAAAGTTCTTTATCCCCAAACCCCCAGAAGACATAGGTTGACATACATCAGACCATGTCACAGAGGCTTTACGAGCAGGGTCAAGAGAACCAGTCCATAGAAACCTCCTAGCAAGTGATTCAACTTCTTTTATGACCTTCTTGGGTAAAATAAAGATAGAGGACCAATACCTTTCAATGCTTTCAACCACGGAGTGTATCAGCTGCATTCTTCTAGTATAGGATAAGAATCTGGTGGTCCATGATTTTATCCTTGAGGTTATTTGCTCGATCAATGGAAGATAATTAGTCAATGATAATCGTTTGGAGACAAACGAGACACCCACATACTTAAAAGGTAAATTTTCTTCTTCAATCCCAAGCATATCAAGCAAGCCTTTTTTTTGTATGAAATGGAACACTTGCAAAATATGCATGACTCTTCATCAGGTTAGTACTAAGTCCAGAGTTGGAGAAAAAAATCATCCAAATAGCTCTTCAGACTTTGAACAACTGAGAAATTTCCCTTGAAAATAAAAAGCAAGTCATCGGCATACAGAAGGTGAGTAAGTCCAATGCGTTTGCACTTTGGGCGGAAAGAAAAAGAGCCTTTTGCAACCATTCTTTTTAGAGATCTAGACAGGTATTTCAAATTGGCAAGCCACATAAGGTGAAATAGGAAGGTGAGTTATTTTAGTGAGTTCCCTATCATCACTCTTAGTTCTAACGCGTAAGAAATTACTCTTACATTTTTATTCCTCCATTATTAGAAATCAAGCAGATTGTATCTAGTTACACTTGTTCGGCATTTTTCCTTTTATTTATTTTTTTCTTTTGGAGGATTGTTCGAAGTGAACGATTACCAAGAAAGTACAATTCGCTGAAAAATCTTTCTGTTGTCTTTTTTTAAAAAATAAAATAAAATAAAATAAATTATTTGCTCTGTAGTTCAATCAATCGTGCAACATTTCAGTTGCTACTATTTGTACTGATTAATATGGGATATATGTGAAAAGTAATAAAATCTCGTATTCATATCGTGTTCAGCCAAGATTTCGACTCAAAAATAGGAGTTTCAAAAGAAGTATAATTAAATATGTTGGTTCCTTATGCCACTTTTATCGAATGAGAAGAGAGTGTCTCAATGTTCGCTCTTCATGTAATTATACATGAAATATACCGTGAATTGTGACTTTACTCATTGAAATCGAATGCTAACACAAATGGAATGAATGAAATATTAATTTATTTTTGGTCGTGCTTTCATCTTCTAATAAGTAATGAAATAGGTTTAGGTTCTATTTTCACGTGTCCACTACCCATTAGTCAATTTCACTGGATAGTCTATATCGTTAATCTTTTGATATATTATGATAAAAGTTTACCAGTGGTCCATAATATTCCAATGCCACGATATGTATAAGGCAAAGTGTTGGGACAAACAATCACATATCGGTATTGTGAAAGATCTGTCACCTATTTATAAGCTCCAAAGGCCACTGATATGCTTATATTTTACCTATTTATTATATCCCTAATTTGTGATTTTTGCAATATATTTTGAGTACAAATATGCTATTTATGTGATTTTGTCTTTAATTGTAGGAATTGTACTCAAATGAAGAATTGTTGAAGTTTTGAGCTAAAATCGAATTAAAAGCAACTCAATGGGAAAGAATTGAAGATTGGAGCAATTAATGGGGAAGAAATTAATGAGTTTAGAGAATTAGAGGGCCAATGATGCAATTTTGGAATTTGATTCTTGTTTTTGGAAAATTGGCCGAGAAGCTTATGGTTATGCGGCTGATTTCGGATTGGAATTGGATAAGAATTTTAATCCCGATATTATTTGGGAAACAAGTTTTCTTGTTCTTCAAGGAGTAGGGTTTAGCCAGAAGCCTATAAAAGGAGGATTAGGGATTTATTTTTACAACAGAACTGGACCGA